GGAAATTGGACGGCTGAAGTTCCTAATGTCTGAAGAGGCCTTGCAGTTGCATCCAGAGTACCAGATGAGGATCCAGGTGCTCAAGACACTGGGCTACATTGAGGAGAACAACACTGTCACGCTCAAGGGTCGCGTAGCTTGTGAGATGGGCAACCATGAACTCATGATCACAGAGCTTGTGCTGGAGAATGTATTTGCCGAGAGCCCAGTAGAGATCATCTCTGGCCTTCTGTCAAGTTTGGTATTCCAGGACAGGAATAGCAGTGACCCTGAGCTCACGCCAGAGCTTCTGAAGGGCGTTAAGCAATTCAAGGAGGTAGCCAAACGCATTGGTGAGGTGCAAAAGGAGTGTGGGCTGAAGGAGGCCGTGGGTGATTATGTCGACCAGTTCAACTTTGGCCTCACAGAAGTGGTCTTCCAGTGGGCCAAGGGCATGGCCTTCAAGAAGATCATGGAGCTTACAGACGTCCAGGAGGGAATCACGGTCAAGTGCATCCAGCGCTTGAACGAGGTCCTGAAGGATGTGCGAAATGCGGCCAGGATCATTGGTGACCCGAGTCTCATGCAGAAAATGGAAGAAGCATCAACAGCCATCAAGAGAGACATTGTCTTCACTCCCAGTCTGTACACACAATAAACGCATCTATTGGTTTGTGGAGAATTACTCAAACCTTGATGGTTATGTTGATTTAAGACTAGGGCAATCATGTGTAAAGGATAATATATTTATATATAATATGTGTCAAACTGCATTTTTGAACAGCCTGCTATCTGCATGATCTTTAGACCTATGGCTTTCATCTGGGAATTTGTAGCAGCCCTACATTTCCATGTTACCAGAGAATGCTTACTTAACATCAGTTGTTCATTGCTCCACTATGGTACATATAGATTGATTTTTGAAAATGATAACTTTTTTTTCCCAGTAAAGGCTGAAGACCAAAGACCTTTTACAGTTTGTAAAAGAATCTTGCTTTATATCTGGGCCATTGGTAGCTGCTGCTATAGAGAGTGTACCTAACTCCAGATGTTCAGTGTTGTAGTATGGGACATGGCAGATTTTTAAAAATTTCTTGTCTGAATTTATTACAGAATATAGCGACTGAAAGTATGAATATGCATCTTTTTCCGATCATTTATGCATGGAAACAGTACTTAGAGAATACTTTTATATATTTGTTGAAAGAAAAATCTTGTGAAGGAAAATGCCCTAAATAAAATTCATGGGGGAAAATGTACACATATTTGTTTTAAAGCAGGTGCTAAAAGTTCTCAGAAGCATTGTCGTTCTTAAAGTAAATCCTATTTCATACATAAAAGTGTGATCTGCAAAAGACCTTGTCATGGTTAGGATGAACAACACAAAGTGACGCACAAGGCTCATGTTCAGGAAATATGAAAACTCAAATGACATGATTTCTGTAGGTTGATAAACAGACTGAAAGAATATGTATATGTTCTTACTGAAAAGATTATCTTGTACTCCTGTGCCAATGCTGCATTGTACTCCCAAGTAAAGGGTGATGTGTGCTTGTACGCACAAGCTACCTATCTGTGATCGTACCAGTGTTAATGAACAAATGTACCCAGTACTATAAGGAACATTATTTATCATTATGTACATCGGTAATATATTTTTATTTGCAAATTATTGTGTTTTTTATATCCTTCGTATGAAAGCAAAAATCACTTTCAGCCAGTTTTCTAAAATGAGTTCGTCATTAAGCAATGTATTACATAAAAAGTTTTGAAAGAAAATACAAAAAAAAGGTTAAAAACTCAATTATTTCAACACTAACCATAATAATTTTTTTGATTTCATTTAAAAATACATTTTGACTTACATTTGTTAGCCCAATCTGCTGAGAACCTGTAAGATTCACTGCAGTTTTGTTTTGTGAGATGTCATTAAACGTAGATGACTCCACAAGTTGTCAGCCACCAAGGAGTCAATAGACCTCGTGACCTTACCAGACTTCCCCTTTGCTGGAATTTTGCGATTTTTCTTTTTTTTTTTTAGGACATTGATATCGATGATGATGTTATTAACATTTTGACTATTGTAATATTAACACAATAGCAATAGAGGGGTAAAAAAGTATTATTTCCAAAAATTGATGAAAAGGGTTAATAAATGAGATAATAGGTGCTTGTTGAGCCATCTGTATGTAAAAGCATTGATAAACTAAACTCACAGTGGGTATGGTAGGTATAGGTTATCCCAAGTGGCAGTGGGTTAATGTGATTTAATACTGATACTATCAAGAGCATACTTTTTTATATTCATTTTTCCTTTATTTATTTTAGTTAACTTAATGAGAGAAAAAGTGGCTGAAGGCCTAATCAGTTGATTTATTTTGATTATATGAAGATTTTCAAATAAGTAAGAAATTTGTAGATTTTGTGTTAATTGCATTCTTTAATCTTTTTTTTTTTTTTTTTTTTTTTTCTTCCTGGTTTCATATTTTATCAGATTATTGCCTCCTCCTCACCATTCATTTTATTTTTCTTATCACCGAACCTCTCTCTTCCTCATTCAAGTCCTGTGCCTCCTTGTTCATGTATTTTCCTCCATCTCTCCCTTTTTAATCCTCATTTTCCTCCCCCTCTTTATCTTCATCTTTTTCTTCTTTTCTCAATCTTCCTCCTCTGCCTTTTCTTTTTCCTCTTTCTTCCTCCTTTTTGCCCTCCTCTTTCTCTTCCTTTTCTTTGTCTTATTCTTCCTCTTTTTTCGTACTCCAGTTTCTCTTCTTTTTCCTTATTGTTGTTTTTTTTGTCTCTTTTCCACCTCCCATTCCTTCTCATTTTCTTCTTCCAAGTCCTTTTCTTTGTCTTTCTATTTCTCTTACTTTTCCTTCTCCTTTTCCTCTTTTTTCCTTCTTTAACTCCTCCATTTCTTCTTCCTCCTCTTCCTTTTTTGCTTCCCCTGCTTCTTTTATTCATATTCCTTTTGTTCTTTTCTTCTTCCTACCTTTCCTCCACTTTGTCCTCCTTCATCTTCCAAATCCTTGCTCGTGATGTGTATCTTCTTTTTGTATCCTACTCCTTAGCCTATTCTGTGTCCTCTCTCCTCCTCTTCCTTCTTTTCTTTCCTCCTCCTCTTCTTCCTTTGTCTTCTCCCCTTCCTGCTTGTCTTCCTCCTCTTCCTCCTTTGTTTTTTCTCCTTACTGTTTCTCCTCCCTCCTCTCTCTCCTCCTCCCCCTCCTCCCCTCCCCTCCCTCCTCTCTCCTCTCCTCCTCCTCCTCCTCCTCCTCCTCCTCCTCGCCTCCTCCTCCTCCTCCTCCTCTCTCCCTCTTTCTTCACCACCTGCCCTCCTCCTCCTTCTCTATCTCTTTCTTCCCACCTACCCTCCTCCTCCTCCTCCTCCTCTCCCTCTTTCTTCACATCCTTCCTTCCTCCCCCTCTTCCTCCTCTTCCTGTTTGGTGTTTTCTTTCTATGTATCATTTTTAAGCAATGTGTGTGAAGAGGTATATTTAAAATTTGATGAACATAATTGAATGGTAAAGAAAATTGTTAAGTACAAAGATTGCATTAAATTCCATAACTCTGCTGTGGCCTAAAACACTGATGATAACAATAATGGGCTAGAACATTTTAGTGAAAAACACATTGAAATGTTAAAAGTAGACAAAATCAAAGAAAAGGAATGAAAATGCAAATAATATGTTGATGTTTTTATATATAAAATAGCTAGCAAAAGTAAAATTCCTGATATATTAGTACTTATAACCAAATCTTAGAATAAGAAATAAAAAGATTTGAATTGAAATCCCCAGTTTAAAAGAAATCCATTGAGCCCCCACTTTATCCCCAAATCCCGTGTCAGAATCCAGCAAAGGAAGACTTGATAGAATGGCCATTTTAAAATCCTAATTGTGGACTAAATAAAGTTTTTTACAATGCCAACATGTTACAGATCTGACCAGCTGACAACATGGAGGACATCATTGCTGAGACGCACGCAAAGAGAATCCCGTGCAGAGGAAGGCAGATAAGCTTTTTAGCCAGCATACTGGGAGAGGTAAATTTGCTTTTATGTTTCTGTATTTTTTTTATATGTATCTTTGTGTGCTTAGGGGGAGGGGGATTGCATTTTTGTGTATGTATATGTTTTTTTTTATATATGAGTAGATACTTATGTGCACAAGCACACACACATACAAACAAAACAAACAAACACAAACAGTCACTCACTCGCTCACTCAAACGCACTTATTTATTCACTTATTGAAACCACCTTCCTACTGTTTTTTCTGTCTTTCTTTCTCTCATCCCCTTTCTCCAACTCTCATCCACCAAAGTTGCTCTCTCAGCCACCCCCCCCCCCTCCCAACACTCCCAAAGGCCTTTCCCTTACTTTCTAAACCCCTCTTTCAGACCTTTGCCCCCTTCCCACCCTCCATCAGCCCTTTCCTCCCATGTCCTCATTTACTCCTCACTCATTCAAGCCTCCATCTTTCCTTC